TGTCTGCAAAAATAGTCACTCTCTCAGGACATAGTTAATCTCAAGACACCCCCAGTATTGTAATGGAGGAGGATTTTTAAAGAAAACACTGAAGGCTCCCTCTATGGAGCCTAAATTAAACCTGATGGTACAGCTGACAGTGGCCTTGTGAAATCGATAGAATTTATGTAGAAATCTACTGATGCCTATTTGGAGTTTATTCAAGAAGGAGATGTTATACATAAGTTTTATATTTAAATCCACAGTGTAACTTAAAAAAACAAAAAGAAGGGAGTGATGGGGTGGATGGTGTAGGCCACAGATAGGAGTTAGACGATTCTCCTTACATTGATTCTCACAGTTCCCATTATCAATAGTAGAATTAGGCTGGGAAATCTAAGATCCAATCAGAGAAGTAATGCAGAAATATTTGTTTAATTGGCTGTATTCCTGATAAAGCTATAATTCTCCCAGTGGCAGAGATGGCCTCCTGTCCATCTGCTTAGAACCTACTTCTGTACCTGAGACCGGGAAGGAGGAAGGAGGGGAAGGGAGGGACCCAGAATTAAAAAGAATGTTCTTGTACCTGTTAAAGAATGTGACCAGCCCTCTGCAGACCTGAAACAGTGACGAGGCCTGTCTGCAACATGCTCCTTCCCTTTCCTGTTCATTGGCTAATCCCTGCCCGGGTACCTGGCCCTCCTCAGCGTTCGCTAGTCCATGAAAGGTGACTCCTCTTCACTGTCACCCCTTCCCCTCCAGTGCACATCCAGAAACTTTACTTCAGGGCTCAGCTCCACATCAACACTGGCCATGTGGCCTTCAATGAATACGTCCCTCAGTCCCTCACCTTCCTTACTGGTAAAAATGGGAATGAGTATGCTTGTCTACCACACAAATGATCACAGGCACAAGTAACACACTACATATAAAATTGTACGGGTGGGGGACTGGGTGAGAGGTGGGAACCATACTGGGCCCTCAAATGATTCTTTCTCACCACACGTGGTTCTCTAGCGAGGCCTGAGATGCTGCTGAAAGGCCACTTCCTTAGTCTTAAGGACAACATCTTGGCTGCTTCCTGGCTTCTTGCACGACAAGGACAAAATTTGGAAGGTTTGGCTTGGTTCAAGCAGGCTGATCTTGAAAGGTGGAACGCTTTGTCCCTTTACAGAAGGATGCGTGCAGTGACAGCAGGACGGAGAGTGAGGCTGTGGCAGGGAGGAGGGGTGGAGAGCTGACCTCGGAGGCCAGAGGAAGTGGGAGCACTGGAGGGAGGCAGACTGCTGCCCTGCCCAGGGCCTGGGGACCCTGTCGTCTTGGGAGGGAACAGCTGGCAGTCTGGACTCTGAGCTGAGGGAGCAAGCCTCCCACTGTGGCGGGGCTCTGTATGAGGGGAAGGAGGAAATTCAGTTCAAAGCTCTTACCTTGCGAGCGGTGGTAAGAAGTATACTTTACATTCTCACCCAGTACACAACTACAATATAGACCACAAAATAGACAACATAGGCCTCAAAAATAGAATTTTCATGAGTCAATACCTACTCTTGTGCTTTGTGGTCTGAAATTTTCCTTCCTTCCTTCCTTGTTTTTTGCCTGCCTTTCTTTTAATTTATTTCTTTCTTACTTCTTGCATGATCGGGAAAGTTGACTTCAAGACCCACTAGTGGGCCTTCATTCACAGTTGGCAAAGCACAAGGCACCACTGAAAGGGAGAATGAGGGGATACACCAAAGACAGACTGAGACCCCTTATTCTCCCTCACTCCCCTTCCTCACTCTCTTCCTAATTACAAAGTTCCTTCTCCTCTCTCTCCCTCTCCTGCTTCTCTTCCTTTGTCTCCTTCTCCTCCTCCGTTTTGTAAAAATAATTCCACCAGTGTGAAGCATAGCAGGATTTATTTCATAAGCTTTTCTGTTCATAGGAATCCCCTGGGGGCTGGCGGATGCTACTGATCCCAGGCCTTTCCCTGGAGAGTCTGATAAGTCTAGGGTGGGCCTGGCAATCCATGTCTGTAACAGGTGCACCCAGGTAATCCTGATGATCCGGACCATCAGGCCTTTCCTAATCAGGTCTAACCCCCTTATTGTGCTGATATGGAATCTGGGGCCTCCAGAGGACAAATGCCTGGTCTGAGGTCACACCCTTGGAATGGGTACTGCCTTTGGAGCAGGACATTGGAGTCAGACTGTGCCTGCAGGTTCTGTACCTGGTACATCACCAGGAGAGACCCTAGACTAAGCAAATGAAGACTGACCCTCATCATGCAGCAAGTTGGGGATGCAATTGGGCTTGGACCCAGGTCCTCATAGGATGCCACCTTTCTGCAATGGCCTGACTTCCTGTGGGAGGTTCAGTCCCATTTCCAGAGCCAGCTCATCCCTCAAGCAAGGGGAAGCAGAGAGAACTACTGTCTACGGCTGCCCAGCCCCCTCTGCCTCTTTTCCTAGTCCTGAGTGAGACCTAGGGTTTGTGGGGAGGAGGGAGAATGAGTCACCTCTAGTCACTCACTGTCACTTGGTCCTCCAGGGGTGGGGTGCAACTTTGAAGGTTTGCACACAGTAGTATTAATCACCTTCCTGCCTTGGCCACCAGCACTGCCACCCTGTCCACCTGTCCACCAGCCCCCCAGCAGTGGTCCTGCTGACTTGGAAGGTGTTCTCTAAAGCCCATAAAAGCAGGAAGACCCTGGGAGCCCAAGTTTTGCTGCAAGCTTCACTGCTGGGCCCCACGCTGCTCTCTCTCTGCTCTTTGCTGCTCCTGTGTTGGGGCCTGTGGTTTGGCATTTCCTTCCTTAGCCAGTTAGAGCCTCAGCAGCCTCCAGCCTGGCTGTTAGAGATACTGGTGAGAAGTTACACCGCAGAGGGTGGGAGGTCTTTTCAAGACTGTGAGCCAGTCAGAGCCCTACCAGGCTCTGTGGGACGGAGGCCTTGAGGTGAGGCTGAGCCCCACCTCCCTCAAGTCATTGCTGAAATGTCACCTCCTCTTTGAGGACTGATCATTTTAAATTGCAGCTGCATCCATGCCAGCACTCCATGCCCCCTTCCCCAGCCCCCGCCACCACTGCACATGTATATACACGATACATGCTTCGAATTTCACCTCCTAAAATATTCATTATTTATCGTCTGTTTCTCTCCACCTGCATGTAAGCTCCGGGAGAGCAGAGCCCTTTGTCTGCTTTGTTTACTGATGCACCTTGAGCACCCAGCAGAGCTCCCGGCACTTAGGAGGCCCTTAATGCATATTGTTGAATAAACGGGTGACTGAGTAGTAGTGGCTGCTGCGGGCAGCACCGCTGACAAGGCCAGGATGCAGGACACTAGCAGGGTTCCCCGGCTGTTTTGTAGGAGACCTTGCATCTCAAATGCCCATCATCTTCTCCAAAAAACCACTTAAGGGAGCCAAGAACAACCGAGTCACGAGCACTCCTGTCAGGAGGCGACTAGGAAGCCCCACCCTTGCTTTAAAGCATCTCCCCCTCTGGGTGGTCACTGAAGTCTGAAAGTCCAACAATGACGTATTACAGAGGATTAAACATTGCCCCCTCTCCTCTGTCCCCTTAGGTCCCCAGCATGGTTATCAACATGCATTTATCCTGTCATTCTAATGAGGGCCCCAAGCAGCAGCTCCCTGGGAGCATGGAGAAGTGGGGAAGTCAGGGTTCTGGAGGGGCGAGAAGGAAGTGGAAAGTGGCTGATGCTCAGGAGTGCCTTTGCTAATGAGAAGGTTTGTTTTAAACCAAATTTCTTACCTTGAGATCATCATTAATCAGAAGGAATGTAGATTGCGGGTCATTCTTACAGATGGGCCAGGGACTCAACAGTGTCACTCCCAGGAAGTTCACAACATAAAGAGAAGTAACACAAGGATGTGGTGCTTTGAAAGGGCATTGGCTTGGAAATGAGGGAGCCTGGCTTGAGGGAGCCTGGCTTGTTGGAGAGAGGGGTGGCTTTCATCACTAACCTTCTATGTGGCTTTGGGTACTCACTTCTTTTGTCTGGGCCTTTGTTGCCTCCTCTGTAAAATGAAGTTTGATGAGAAAATCTCTGAGGTTCCTTCCAGTTGCCTCAAATCTCTAGGACACACTGAACTGATTTACTAATAAAGTCCCCTGGTACTCATCAGTGGGTGCTAAGGGATGCTGGAGTCTCATGTCCTGGAGGTTCAAGAGACTGAGATGAATGCATCTTGCTAAGAAAGCTAAGGCACGCTTGAAATGCAGCCCTGATGGCAAAGGCCCTCTGTGTCCTGGGGTTTGGGAGTTTGCTATTTCAGATACGGAAGTAACTGATGATTAAGGGTGTCTCCAAGTGTCTTGCCAAGGCTGGCCTCAGGGGATGGGTGATTCAGGGAGTCCTTCACTCTGTGTGCTGTGCCTTTACTGGAAATACTTCTCCAAGTTTCTGTAAGAATCCCTGTCACCAAATTAGAGTCTGGAGAATGGAAGGTGATGGCAGGCCAAACAACAGCCCATAGAGGTTGTGATAAGAAATATGCAACAAGTGGCTGATTCTTCTAAGTCTGGAAGATGGTTTGAAGATTCCTGGGAGCAAGAAACCATAGGATGCTAAGCCAAGATTCAGGGGATTTCAGCCACAGGAGTAATGATATAATTAAACACACAGCCATAGTATCCAGATCCTAAGGATACAGAATTTTGGAGGAGAGAGAAGCCAGGTGTGAGCTGAGATGTCTTTAAGGAGGGATTCTGAGCCTGACCTTGAAGGCTCAGCCAGACACAGATCTGAAAAGCGAAGAGAGGGCTTCCTGGGCAGGAGTGAGGGATCAGCAAGAGCAAGGTCTGGCACGGGCATGAGGTGACACATTCTGGGAGGAAGTGAGGAGCAGAGGGTCCCCACAGAGGTGAAGGAGGGAGCCTGGCTAAAGGCCACAAAGAGGAGACTGACCAACGCTGGCCCAGGTGCCTAAGGTTATAGAGATCAGGGTACTTCAGGGTCAGCAGGAAGATTGAGGCCAGGAGGTGGTTTCATCTTTTCATTTATGTCTTTGTCTTGTAGGATTCTCAGTAAGTTAAGTCAAGAAATCAACAGGAATGAAGAAAGGAGGAGCATTTTCACACGCAAGTGAGTGGGGCAGCTCAGGGCTTGGTGTAAGGAAACTTAAGAATTTTCAAACCCATGTGGAACCCTAAAAAGGAGGCACAGAATTGTTTTTGTACCACTTTTTGACCTGTGGTGATCCCCTCAGTCCCAGGGGTTTTGAAAATGGTGCCCAAGGAGGGGTGGGGGTTCCCTCTCCCTGCTCTGCATCCTGCCCCAGAGTCTGGGACGTCAGGGGAACTTCCCCCAGAGCATCAGGCAGTCACGAGCTCTCAGTCTTGCCACCAGTGTGGCTTTGGTGGTTTCCAGAACTTTTGGGGCAGTCTAGCCCTGGTTGCTGAGCAACAAGGACGCAAGTCCTTTCTGGGCAGTGAGATGCACCCTCCAGTCGGGGCTCTTCTTGCAGGGCTGCATGGAGGACAGAGGGAGATCCCTTAAATCAATAGGGCTTTTAATGCAATGCTCTTTGCCTTTGCAGACCCCAGGTGCAGCGGTTTCCAGAAGAGACAGGTAAAGGTGTCAGGGCTGGGAGGTGATTGCTTTAGGAGGCAATGGGTATGTCCTTCTGTCTTTTGGTTCCTGGGGCTCCTGCAGTGTCATGCAGGTGACCTTACTCATTGCCAGTTTTTACCCAGAAAAGTGTTTGAGCCTGACTGAGAGAAGAAAATGTGTCACTCTGAAGGGCCCGTGACTTCTGGCCTTTGCTCAGCTGCGACCTCTGCAGAGACACACTGAGGGTCTCTGGGAGCTCTGTGGGGCAGCATAGATGGACCTAGCCTTTGACCAAGCACCTGAGTCTTTCAAGCAGTTTTTCAATTGTTAAATTGTACACAGTATTAAAATGCAGATTCCTAGGCCCCACCTAGTCCTGCTGAATCAGAAGCTCTAGGGATAGGGCCCCAGGCATATGCATATTTAAAGCACTCCTAAGTGAAAGGTTGAGAACCACTGCCACCCCCTGATGGGATGAGATCCTTAGGTAGAAACTCTAGAGCTGACGGTAAGTTGCCAGGTAATGTGGAAGGCAGGAGAGGGCCTGGGATGGGGTGCGGTGTGGGAGGGTATCAGATGGGGGGCTGCGTTGACTTCCCTCCACGTGGCAGGGCTTTTGGTACTGATGATGGTGTTATCTCCTCCCACAGAAAGCCATGAAGAAGACAATGGGGGCTGGTCATCCTTTGTGAGTATGGTGTGGGCTCTCTTCCACCTGTACAGCAGTGTCCAGGGTGGCTTTGTAATAAGGACCTAACATAACGCCAAGCGTGGCAGGGCCTCTAGTAAGGTGCCAGTGCCCCCACCCAGGGCTCAGAAAATGTGTTCCACAGAGGGCCAGAAAGTAAATATTTTAGGCTTTGGAAGCCATACAGTGTGTCTCAGCTACTCTACTCTGACATTATAGCACACAAGTAACCATAGACAATGAGCAAAGGAACAGGCATGTCTGGAGCCAATACACCTTCATTTACAAAAACAGGGGTGGGGGCTGGACTTGGCTCTTGGGCTGTAGTCCGCTGACCACACAATTACCTACCTTTACCACCCTCGTGGGAGGGACTTTCCCCACCCCCGTTCTGTCGTGTCCAAAAATGGACTCTCCTAGAAATCTAAACTGAAATAGCTTTTCTCATGGACTTGAGTCCCGATCGGTAGCACAGACAAAAACAGATTTCAGAATTGACTTAGCCCTGAAAAGACCTCAGGGATAGTCCAATGCAGTTGGTTTTTACAATTGAGGGGTCACAGTGATCCCCTTTGAGAGTCTAGTGGGCTCTGCACACCCCCACCCCAGAAAACTACATATACAGTCCCCACCCCTGAAGCTAGACTCAGGCTAAGAACTCTATTCTGGATTGTAGCCCAATCTATTCATTTTATAGAAGAAGCAACTGGGGCCATTGGAGAATGTGACTTATGTAGAGCCGCATGGCTAGCTAGAGGCAGACCTGGACCAGACCACCCAACCCTTGGTCAGGTGGTCTTTCTGGTAAGCAGCTGCCTCTAGTGCCTTTAGAAAGCATACACAAAAGGTCCCTCATCCTACTGGAATTCTGGTAAAAGAAAGCATTTAATGTGAAAAAGGTTTTTTAGTTACGTTTGTGTTTTCTGAAAACAAAGGAATATAACATTTATTTTGTACAAAAGGGAAAATAGACCAGTGTTTTCCCCCAAAATGTTTACATATTTGCACAAAAGCTGAATCTGTCACTGCTTAACATATGGCCCCTTCTGTGCTCAGCCTGCAGCTAGTCTTCAATCCTCTCTATAAACCCAGGCCTTCTACTCACTGGTGTCTATAAAACTTGATAGTTGTGTTATGTGCCCAGCTCTGCACAGGGGACCCCAGGGAAAGTGGGTGAAGATAACTCAATCATGAACATTTTACAGTAAGCATGACATGTGTCAAAAAGGTAAACTGAGGCACAACAAAATTTTAGAGAGTTTATTTGGGCAAACAACAATTCATGTTTGAATCAGCAGCTTCAAACAAGAGGTGGTTCGGTTCAGGAATGCAATGGGGAGGCTTTTATAGGACAGACACAGAAGTAAAGCAAAGAAACTATTTGCTTAGTTACAGTCATACAGTTGCCTTATTTGGTCTATTCCATTGGGAAGTCCCTAGTTATAAGTTTGTTGGCTGCTTCTAATTGGTTGAGCTTAGGTTCTGTTTTTTCTTTAATATAGGCAAGAAATAGCTCAGGTTAAGTTTTGTTTATGTTCTCAAATCAAACAAAGTTGAGCTCACTTGTAAGGCCTAACTGGTTTTATCTGCTCAGGGATTCTTCAGGACTGGTCTCCATTTAAATTTAACACACATAAGACAGAATATGGTTTGTGACAAGATCATGAATATAAATTTAGGGGCCAAATGATTTGAAGGAAATAATTGTTCTAGAAGCAGAGAGGAAAAGTCTATTGCTAGAGAAAGGCTTCCGGAATAAAGGCTGGTGTATGTATGCATCTGGAATGGACAGGCCCAAGCATGAGGAACACTGTCATTTTAGGATGGTGTCTGCAGGGGCTGGAGGGGGCACCTGTGTGCGGACCTCCGTGCTGAGACCGTTGTTCCTGTCCTGTTCCTCAGGGGTTCAGTGTCCACCTGCTCCTAAGTTATAGGAACACTGACAGGGCAGGACAAAGTCTTTTCTGGAGTCAGGAAGGTCCCCAACCCTACTTTGCCTTCCTATAGTTGTTTTAATATTTCTCAAGACAAAAACAAGCACAAGAATCTTTCAACTGAACAACTAAGAGACAGTCCTCCTCAAGCCACCTATCAAAGCTGTCAGGATTTCCAGACTATTTGTACATAGCTTTCCTTGAAAAGTTGTCACCATCCATTACTCCTTTCTATGCTGCCCTTGACTTTAGAGCTCTGTGCTCATTTCTTTTCCCATTTGACTGTAGCATGGCAGTGATGAGCCACTCGCCACTTGGTGGCTGCTGGTGCCACCTCTGCTTGAGAAATCATTACGATGATTGTCCACACTCAGGAACTGCTTCAAAGACAACCACCTAACACCTAGGGCTTACTTTCCATGGGACCCATGAAGAAGCAAAAATAAAATACAATAAGAAATCTAAAATTTATAGAGTCTTTTCCAAGAGAGCAGCTTCAAACGCAGTGTCAGATTTCATGAACAACAAACTGTTGTTTCCATTCACTCGATTCTCAGCAGAAAGAATGGCACATCCCCTGGCCATCCCCTCTCCCACACAACTTAATCTGCCTTCCAGTTAACAGGCTTTGTTTGTCTGGTTTCCCTCATTAGCTTGCCCTTCAACGCTGCCCTGGGTTACAAGGAGAAGAAGTTTTTTGAGCACAGGCACACTAAGAACAGAAATGACAATCAACTGGTGCCATCACAAATGCTCCAGGCATTTAGTCTTTCTCTTGCTGATGCCTGGAGTAAAGATGGTGTTTACTCAAGACAGAGCCCATACCCCCACCCCCTATTCTAGCATCCTCATTTCTTCTGTTTTTCTCTGCTGTGCAAAAAGTTGTAAAGGAAAATGGACTAACCTAATGGCCGGAAGATCTTGACTGGGGTCCTAAGTGCACGACTTGCGATATTGTGCTCCCCAACCTCAGTTTCCCCATCTGTAAAATAAGAGTAGCCATCCTTGGGCTGCCAGCCCCCAGGGTGTGCCCTTGTGAGGCTCAGCAGAGAGAGAGTAGACACAGGCACTTCAAGTGCCACAGAGCCTCTGCAAATTGTGCTGTCCCTGTCACTGTGCTGGCAGGAAGATGACTATGAAAGTCCCAATGACGATCAGGATGGGGAGGATGATGGTGACTATGAGTCCCCCAATGAGGAGGAAGAGGCGCCTGTGGAAGACGATGCTGATTATGAGCCGCCACCCTCCAACGACGAGGAAGCTCTGCAGAACTCCATCCTGCCTGCCAAGCCTTTCCCCAACACCAACTCCATGTACATCGGTAAGGACCTGCTTCCTGATTGCTGGCCTGGCAGCCCAGAGCCACGCTCCCCACTGCTGCATGGGAGGCTGGTGCCCCAGCTTGCCCATTGGAGCAGAAAGCTTTGGGTGCTGATACCAGCTCACCTTCTTAATGGCTGTGTGGCTTTGGACAAGTGACTCCACCTCTCTGGGCCTCAATTTCCTTATCTGCAAAATAGTTTAATAGCAGTAAAGAGCACATAAGTTACCTGTGAGGATTACTGATCCTGCAAACAAATCAGTGCCTGTGGTAATGTGGATACCATTATCCTGACATCAGCAATGAACTGCCCCTAAGGATATTTGGTAGTTATAACTCATTCTGTGGGTTATTCAGGCACTCAAGAGCACCTTTCTTTTCCTCCCTGTCTTTTGACCAAATCATAGTTATGGGGCACTACCACCTGCAGACTGTCAGAATAAAGATAAAGATATCGAGTAGAGTTTGACTCTAACTTTAAAAAATTTAGACAGTATTAAAGATTTTAATAATCTACCTGTTGTTAGCCCATTTCTCTCTCATTCATTCATTCATTCATTCATTCATTCATTCATTTAGTGAACAAAAATTATTGATCTACTGTGAGCCAGCTACTATTCTAAGTACTGGGAAATCATCAGGGAAGAAGACACAGCCCTTGCCTTGGGGGGCTTACATTGTAGTAGTGGTGGTGACAGAAGACAAACACATGCACACTTGCATAATATAATGTCAGGGAGTAAGCCAGAAGTTGATGATCAACACCACAAAAAATTAATACTTCTAATCCTGTAGGGCGTATAACGCTTTGCAATTTTAAAGTCCTTTCACAAACGCTGTCTCAATATCTCATTTTGTGTTATTAAGCACCCTGTGTGATAAGGGCAACATTATCAGGTTTGTTTCATTTCTAGGGAAATGGAGGTCCAGAGAAGAAATGGAGACCTAAGTTGTTGAGCACATGCATGTGCCAGTTATGAAGATATGGTGTGAATGAGACAGTCCTCACTATAAGGGCCTCGTTGTCCAGTGGGTGAGGCAGCATCAAACAGACAAGTCACAGAGTTATTTAACTGCACCATGATATATAGTCAAGGAGACAAGTGCAGGAGATGAGGCTGGAGTGGATGCCTACTCTGGGCCTGCTTTCCTTATGATGTGATATTTAAGCTGCAATATTAAAGGATGAGTAAGAGTCGGCCAAGTGAGGATAAATGTGGTAAGGGAGAACACTTGAAGCAATAGAAATGGCTGTGCAAAGGCCCTGAGGTTCAAAGGAGCATGGTGTGATAGAGGAGCTGGCTAGCATGGGTGGACTGGTGTGAAATTAGCCAGGCTTGTGCTCACTCTGAGCCCATTCTCTGGTAGAACAAGGCCTCTCCAGGGCCAGGCCCAGGGGGAGGCAAGGGAGGCACCACAAGAAAGGAAGCGCTCACTCGCCTCTCATGCCTCACAGCCCCTTCCTGGCCTTTCCCTGTTGAAGGGGAGGAAATAATTGCCAGCCTGTCAACCTGGCCTGGGGATGCCTCTGTGGCAATCAGAATAATGTGAGTTTCTGTTCAGGGTGAGTCCGTGTACTGATTAGGAGTCTGTCATTTAGTAACAAGGGATGGTGACCAGCTCTTCCCTTTAATGGGAGAAATGGGCAAAAGGAGGAAGTGGGAGGGGCAGGACTGTGAGGGGAAGGAAGGGGAACCAGAACAGGCTCCCCAAAAGTGCTGACAGCCGGCTAAACCCTGCACAGGCAGCTGGACGTGCTGTGTGTGTGCACGTGTGTGAGTGTGCACGTGTGTGAGTGTGCACGTGTGTGTGCGTGTGTGAAGGTGTGCACATGCGTGCTTTTGTGTCTGTGCATGCGGAGGCATTTGTATGTTTACTCCTTCACAATTTAGTCTGCAAATACTCCCTCCTGGTAATGGCTGAGCTGATTAGCAAGAGGCCTTTTTTGTTTGGCAAAATCTCTGATAAATACCTGTGCCCTTGAGGAGAGATGAGAGCTGGCCGGTGGGTGAGGAGAGAAAGAGGGCCAGGGAGGGGCCAGGAATTCCCCACCCCTTGTGGGATCCCAGCTGGGTCTTGCCATGCTGGGGCTCGAGGTGGCACAGGTGCAAGTGTGGGGGACGAGGGTCAGACGCCCGTGGGACCCGAGCTGCACAGAGTCGGGTGCAGCGTCTGTTCCTGGAGACCCCCGAGCTCGGCCAACACTCGCCTTAGTCTCGCATTTCTCCTTTCACTGTACTATTCTTGTGTTTCCACAGACCGGCCCCTCTCCGGAAAAGCCCCCCAGCAGCCTCCTGTGCCCCCCCAGAGACCGATGGCTGCCCTCCCTCCCCCGCCGGTGGGCCGGAGCCCCTCGGTAGGCCTCCTCGCTTTCTTATATGGCACTTTGTGTCCTCTCCAGTTATTTCCTCTGCCAGAGAGAAAACTCCAAATATCTTTACCTAATTCTATTTTTGTAAGAAAAGAGTATATCTAGGCTGGGAAAACGCATCTCTGAGTACTCCCTGTGTTTCTTTTTTTGGTGATTTTTATTTACATCATAATGCTTATTGGTATTTTCTGTGTGCCATAAACAATATAAACTACTCATATGATAAAAATTCCCCTCCAGTTGCTTTCCACCATTTGAAATAAGTGAAAACTGTAAAATAAACTCTAAGAAAACCGAATTCAGTCGGTGGCACCTACTGGTATTGCCTGCCTGGGTACCAAGCCCTCACCTCTCCTGCGAAAAGACTTGTGCCACCTGTTGGCCCACGCCTGAAATTCCAAGGATGAATGCCTTCAGAAAACCTTTCCTCTTTCTCCAAGCATTCAGTGGATCTCATAAATTCCCAGAGCTACTCTGAGAAGCCCAGACTAAGGAGTTGATCGCTGGGAATGTGTTCTTTTCACAAGTGTCCTGAGCACTTTAACAGCTGTGGCAAATGACAAAGTGTTAGGACTAGAAGGAAGGTGATGACATATTTTCCCAAAAACTCAAAATCCGGATCACACTGATTAGGACCTCCTGTCTGAGAATAGATGCCTCCCTCCTGCTTGTGCAGTTCCAGTGCAAAGGGGGCTCACAGAAGTGAATTTATCTACAAATGCATTTTGCTTTTGAAATCTGAAAACCTTCACCTCCACTATTGGGATGCAGAATTCACTCATTCCATCGACAGATATTGATTGAGCAGCTACTGTGTGCCAAGCAGTGGTCTAGGTGCTGGGGACAGAGTGTGAGCAAGATGAATAAGGTCCCTGCTTTCTTGTAGTTTCAATGTGGGTTAGGAAGAGTCAGATAATAAACAGGTACACAGATGTATAAATGAGGTCATTTGAGGAGTTAGTTGTGGTTAGGGGGACAGAAGACCAGGTAACATGATAGTGGGTGGGAGGTGACAAGGAACTGGGTCAGAATGAGCCAGTTGTGGGAAGCTGGGAGAAGAACATTCTGGGCAGAGGAAAACACAAGTACAGAGATGCCGAAAAGGGCTGGAGCTTGAGATTCTGGAGAAACTACGAGACAACCCTATAGTGGGGGCCCAGAGAGCATCAGAGAGAGGTGTATGAGAAGGGGTTGGCAGGGTGGACAAGTGCCAGGTAGGGCTTGCTGACCATGGAGAGTTTATATTTTTTTCCCAATGTGGTGGGAGCTGCTGGAGGGCTTAGCAAGGAAGTGACATGCTCACTTGGCAGTCATGCAAATAGCTTGCACAAGAGAGTGTAGACAGGAGGCTATTGCAGTAGTTCAGATGACAAATGGAGAGGATGTTGGTGGGTGGAACGTGAAGATGGAGAAAAGTAAGTAGATGCAGACTTATTTATTTTGGGAGACAAAGCAACCAGGTCTTGCTGATGTTAGAAATGCTTCCTAACATTTGAGTCTTTTTTTATGCAGCCACTACCCCCTCCTCAGCCCAACCATGAAGAGCCTAGCAGAAGTAGAAATCACAAAACAGCAAAGCGTAAGTACAAGAGCCATTCTCTCTGGCCCACCAGCCCACCCCCCTCCCACCCCCAGGCAGCTGCTTTCTTCTTTTACTTGACATCAGTCTTTTTCCCTTCCAGTCCCTGCTCCTTCAATAGACAGAAGCACGAAACCTCCCCTAGATCGTTCATTAGCTCCGTTTGACAGAGAGCCCTTTGCACTAGGTTCGTATGATTCATATTTGATGCATAGTAATAACGGTCAACCTTTATAGAGTGCTTACTGCATGCTTTTCACGTGTACCATCTCATTTAACTATTGCCACAATACTATGAAGTGGAGTCTAGCAGAATCATCCTCATTTTACAGATGAGGAAAGTGAGGCACAGAGGTAAATCCCCAAGATCACTCAGCTATCAAGTGATGGGGGCAGAGACCCAAACCAGATCAGCCTGATTGCAGAGCTCCTGGGCTGTGCCTGCTTCTTCAGGCATGTGCTCTGTGTACACACATCTCATTGTCCTTCAGCCAAGAACCATGGGAGGCTTTGAGGTGCAGAGGGAGGACCTGGGCTAAGAGACGAGGGATCTTGGAGAGCTGTTGTCTGCTCCTTGGTGGCTATTTAGTAACTAACCGACCACATGGCTGATACTCTTTCAGGGCTCAGTCTTCTAGTTGGTAAAGGTGGGTGTTCTGTAAGGAGAAAATGCTTTATAGAACTCTAAGGTGTTATTTAAGTGTCAGGGCTGTCTTTTGTTGTATGCATGCAGTTTACCAAACACTGGGTATACGGGCTGATACTCTTTCAGGGCTCAGTCTTCTAGTTGGTAAAGGTGGGTGTTCTGTAAGGAGAAAATGCTTTATAGAACTCTAAGGTTTTATTTAAGTGTCAGGGCTGTCTTTTGTTGTATGCATGCAGTTTACCAAACACTGGGTATA